AATTTATGCCAAGACAACATCTGGAACATCTTCGCAGGAAAACCACCCAGTAAGGTAGTTAGGATTTAAAACAATCATGTCTTTCTGTTAATGTTGGCTTTTTCCCTTGGCTTCATTGCTCCATAATTACAAGGGTGCTGACCTTCCAGCTATGCATAGTGACAGTTTGGCAATATATTAACACTTTTCTTCATCGTTAGACTTCTGAGTGATTGCCCAGAGCTGGGATTGCCCACACAGAATTTGTCATTTACCAACTTCTGTTTCTCTTTAGTAGCTACAAAGACGCTGAAGGAGAATGGACCTCTTGTGGCAGACTTTAGGAGAACTTATCTCATCTTCTTCATACATAAAGGAAGGCTTTGGAAAAATACCAGTACTCAGCCACTTTACCCTCAGTTCACACCACAAACGAGCAGGCCAAGAATCCAAATGAAACAACCCCTGGGCTTCATACACTAATCACAAAGAGATCCAGGTCCCCAGGTTAATGTGCCCCTTGCACTGGCCTGAGGGACAAGAACCTGCCCAGGAGCAACACCTAGGCAGAAATCCCACTAACTCTTCATGACGGACTGTCAGTCAGGACTGAAATAATTCCAGTGCTCAGTTCTGGTGAGTCCATGAGGCAAAGAGGAACCCGTAAACCATTTAGCAATTTTCATAAACCAAGAAACAATTCAGCAATCTTCATAACCCAGGAAACAACCTGCTAGAGCCAAAGTATGCCAAGCAGAGGACACTTCTGGCAGGGACTCTTTCCGAGCCCAGGATTCAACTTGGTACGAGAGAAACTCAGCTTCAGGAGGTAATCTCTGCTCCTTTCCCAGAGCCACAGGAAGGAACCAAAGAAATCAGCTTTATCACAGCTCTTCATGGATGCCTGAGGAATCCCTCCCCTCACTAACCTCTAACAGCAGCAGTGGTCTTGGCCAATCTGTTTTGTTTCCCAGTCCCTTCACCTCTCCAGACAGCCCATCCGAAAGCACATTCCTGGCCAGATAAACTCAGTCAGGCTGTCTAGGTTTCCTGCAGGTCATTGAGAAGCGATCACCTTTGGGATTCACTTGTGTGGCCAAGCAGTGCAGGGCAGTTTCTGGTTTTCATTTGCCAACAAAGCTCAAAGCCTCCATTAATCTTACTGCTACATATGGAAAAGGTACCCATATGGATTTATTTTATTGTCACCTATTGTACTGACCTATCCTGTGGCCTTCTCTGGACACACAGGTCTGGTCACAGATGCTGAAATGTAGTGAAGCCTCTCTTGGGTGTCTATAGGATACTGGGAAGAGGTGAGCACAAGAATCCTTCCTGACACAACAGAAGGGGTCCAACTGTCTAGAGCCTGAGGAACGTGCAGGGTCAGTGCCACGTTTTAGAAGCAGACTGCTACCCAGATACCAGGCTATAGCATAGACACAGCTCCTCTCCAACCTCTCAGGTATTTCATACCATCACCATTTCTTGTTAGACTCAACAGGACACAAAGAGCTCTCCTGCAACCTGACTGAAGTTTAAGGCATTGATACTGTGTGATGATTCAAAACTAACCTCAGTGCTTAACACTAATGAGAAATCTGACAAACCCAAGGTGCTTCTCAGGGACAACCACCCACTCATTGCCTTGCTCTGTTTCAAACCTGAGCTGTGAGAAGTATACTCCTCAGAGCATTTAAAGATTAAATTAAGTCATTATTTATAAAACAAGAGAGAATGTAAAGAGAGTTATCACTTATCTTCACTGATGACTGGAGTTAATGTGAAAACAGAAGACTTAGTGAGTTAGCCCAAAAGGGCAAACTAAGCCTGCAGGACAGGGACAGTGCAAGGATTGTGCACCTCTTGGGCTCTTGGGTTGTCCATAGAGGGCCAAGTTGTACCCTGTGTGGCCACTGACCACGTCCCCACATTTCACATATTCACATAAATAAAGCTTTCACTTCTTTATTTATGATTTTATTTTTATGACTGTCTCCCAGCAAACACACTCCAGTACATGCTGTAAAAAATAATGTAATCTTGGTAACAGAAGACTTCCCTGCAGCGTCTGCTAAGAGCTGCTGGCTGAGGCAGGGGAAGAGACTGCACAGTTTTGGCATGCACTAAGAGGTGTGTAGTCTAGTGAACTGCAGATTAGCGAGGCTTGACTGTTATCTTAATTTACAGCCCATATAGTTCACGTTAACTCTACACACATTTTTAGATACACTAGCAGCTTAGTTTGTCCCAGATACTTTTATTCGTTGTTCGCCATTTCTCCTTGACAAATTATTACTGACTTCCCATTCTAGCTCCCTACAGCAAGACCTGAAGCCCTGTCAAGGAAGAGAAAATGTCAACAGACTTCTCAGCAGTGCTCAGAGCAGCTCAGGCTCCCGCTCGCCAGCTTTAAATTGCTACTAGGCAATCATTAAAGGAGCAGCAGCTTCTATGCAAGCTGTGATTATGATGTTATAAAAAGCAGCAACTAGAGCCAAATCTAATGCAGGAAAATCACCACTTCCATCTGAACATCCAAACCCATCTCCCTCTGGTTAGTGCAGAGAGCGGCTCAGGAAGGCCTTTTCTGATTAACCCTCAGCAGTTCAGCCTGGACAGTCACGCAGAAATCCCCCATTCCTTCTGCTCCAATACCCTGTCTAGCTGATAATATTTTCACACAGCACTTTCAAAGGCTGCTGTTACTGCTCCGTGCATTTGCCCTAATGAACAAGGAATTCTGTTGATGCAGAGCAGCTGTCATTCTCCTTCTGCTAACACGGCACCCGAATACACCTCACCACTGCTCATCAAGACAAGCAACTCCAACACCCAGTCTACGGCACATTAAATACATCAATTCCTGTAATGACTGCAAAGAACAAGAAGAATGCCAGGTCTTGACCTGGGTGGGTTCTACAGAATTAACTCAGCTAGAGATTAAGGCCATACAGTGATGATAAAGTCTGACCCACTAGCCCCAGTGTCACATACTGTATAGCCCTGTGACAAATCCCATGTGCAATTCCCATTGAGCTGACAACCAACACACGTACCACAGTCTAAGCCACCATTCACACTAGGGAGGGTTTTTGTTTGTGACACACACTGACCTCAATTTACAGGGAGGTCAAAATGATACAGCCCATAGTCTGCACTAATAAAATAAATCACATCAGATGACAGCTGCTCCTCCCCAGCACCTTTCATTATGTTCTGTAAAATTTTGTTGCCCTAAGTTAAGAACAGAAAAAACTCTGGGATCCCTTCTATTCTCTGCTTAACACATTTACTTGCCATTCTTCATTATCCAAAGGCTTTCAAAAGTTTTTCTTTCTGCAGACTCTTGAAAAGCCTCCAAATTGTTTACATGCCAATGTTTGGCGTGTAGCTTAGAGTACAAAGACTAAGCTGATCTCATTTTGCCTTGGTGGGAAGTTAATTTTCCTTGTGTTTTTACAAAAGGAAGAAACAATTAGCGGTTTTGAGGAGAGGCTTACACCACACATTTCCTAAACAGATTTGGTTTCTAAATAAAAGGAAGTGTTTAACAGGTTATATCAGCATTAAGATTTAAAAACTCCTGGGATCAGGTTTGCTCCCCCCTTATTTATTCACTGCACTAGTATCTGTGCCTTTAAACAAAATTCCTCTCCCAGAAAATACATACATCCACACTTGGCCCCTTGACGTTCATGCCTATGGCAAAATTATTTGCACGTTTTCCTTACTGCATAATTGTCTCATTAGCACTGCAGAAAGAAGGTGATGACTTCTCCCTCTTTGTCATCAGCCTAATCCAAGACCAATCCTGACTGGCGCTGCAGGAGCAAAATTTGCCTTTTCTAAAATAGAAGGGAACTCTGAACCTCTGAGACGGCACTGGAAATTGAATTACAGCACTTGAGCGCTGGCATTTACTCACAACCCTTAAGGAAGATTAAACCAGTAGGCCAGGCTGGAGCTTTCCTTTCCTTTGCTAAACATAAACATTCATATTCAAATTGCTTTCGGATATATTTAAATCAATAGAAAATTCTGGATGATGGTCAATAGGGCAAAAAACAACGCCAGCTTTTCAAATACACAGATGTAGTATATACATTAACCACGAAGCCTGGCTTAAACACAACAGTATTTACTTTATACTGTTCAGAAACATGTCTTGGCGACTAAAATTAATAGAACTTGTCTGGAGGACAGCATAAGCTTTCTAAGAGCTCTTTCAGCTTTAACTTATGCCCCAGTTTTTGCTTTTTTTTTTTTTTTTTTTTTTTTTTTTTTTTTTTTTTTTTTTTTTTTTTTTTAATTCCAAATTTTAAATTAATTTTATGCAGCAGCATGTCTGTCCCACTGGCACAGCAAGGCCATGGAGCCAGCATTCCTTCCAGGGCTCATGGGTCTGAGAGTTTCGGGAAGCCTGTTGATGGATCATTTCTAGAAGAAGGACTGGTTTGGCTGAACAAACAGCAGGTCTTCTCTTCAGAATGGCCAGCTCTGTGTGTGTCCATGTGTGTGCATGCACATGTGTAATCCCTTCCTGCCCCCCTCTGCAAATCTCCCTTACCTGGCCAGAGGAAGGCTTCTTTAGGGTTACACTATCAGCCTCCTATGCAGATGTACATCTTATCAACGTATCTGACAAGATGATACCTTTAAATTAAAATTCTCACTGTTTTGTTCTACTGTTAAACTGGGAGTGGGGTGATGGAGGGAAGCCCCAGGCTGGATTTGAAGCGCACATTCAAATACATCATGAAGCATTATGAGGAGGCACCTAGTTGAGTTCATCTTTGTGTACAATGCCATGCACTCAAGACAGCTGCCCTGCCAAGCTCTGACTTCCACATCCTGGCTGTGTGAGTAAGCAATTAGTTGGGTTCCAAAAAGCTAAGATAGAACCCTAATAAATCTTGAAGGGCAAGAAATATTCTAAGTAATTTATTGCTATCTTGTCTTATTCTGTCACAAGAAGGCAAATAAGCATTTTTAGCTACAAACTGTGTTGCGATCAAAAATTTCACTCCAAATGGTCTGTTGAAAATTTCAGCCAAATTAGTAAACAGTGAATACAAGAAGGAGTAAAGTCTGCATGCAGTTGTGTGCACTTGGTCTGTGTGTAAGAAAACAGGAAATCTCAGCACCCCGTTCCAATTAAGCAAAGGCTGACTTCTCATGGAACATACATTTTCTACTTTTCCCCCAGAACAACCTTATGCTGATGTTTTAGATAGTGGTAAAACATTGTTTTTAATTTCACACCTCACATAGCACAGTCAAATGCTTCATAACAACATAAACAAAACTTTAGGCAGAGAGCTTTGCGACTGAGTCAAACAATGATTTCCCCCCACAATATGCACTCAAGGTTTGCAGGGAGAATACAGAAACTTGTTGGCTAAGGCCACAGAAATTAGTTCTCTGGTGTTTTGGCTGCTGCCACCAAACCTAGTCAAGAATGTGTTAACAGTGGATGCATTGATCCAAATCCCATTATTCCCACCACCTGTCAAGTAAAGAATAATTTATTCTATTTCTGTTCTCCTTTTGGTTGTATCGTAGGATCGAACAACTTGCGACTGGGAAACAACACCGTGTTCTTCTTGAGAAAATGCATACCCATCTGAAAAAGCAAAGGAAGAAAAAAGAAATCAGTTACTGGAGTTGAGCTCAAAAGCACAGACCACTTTTAGGAACAGTTTCAGGCATCACTGAAGTTATGTAATTGAGACTGCAACCATCTCAATTTCTGTGCTGTGCTTCTGATGCTCAGAGCTGCGCACTGCATTGCCCATGTGGCACAGAAAGGGTGTCTGCTGCCAGCTCTGTCCCTCTGTTGCCCTCCCCAGGCCAGGTCAGTGCACACAGTCACCAATGCCCTCTGAGTTAACCTAATAAGCTACGGATTGATTTGAACACACTCCCATAGTACTCCCATAGTGGCAGAGCTTCTCTAAAGACTTGACAGAGCAGTAGAGATTTGCATTTTGGCTTGACTCCTCTGTAGTCTGCTTGATACCAGCAGTTTCTCTGGAGAAAGGTGGGAATGTCTAGCTCACAACCAGATTTTTCTCACATCTTCCCTTTAACTCCCCTCAGGATTTTTTAACAAATTTTCAAGTGGCATCTGACAAATGACACTGTGAAACTCTTGATTCTCTCAGCCAGTCACTTATATTTTGCATAGAGTAAACACACATTCTGGAAGTGTCTACTCTGTTAATCCTGCTAGCTAGCACAATCCTGGGGTTTCCCTAGAAACTGCTCAGATGAAAATAACCACTTGTCTGATTTCTTTTGAAGTACTGTGGACAGGCAAGTGACATTTATGATAGCATCTGCAGAGCACCACAATGCTGGTAAAACAGTCACAAAAAGCTAATGGGGCAACATGATGCAACAGCAGACAGACTTGCAGATGTGGCCCCACAGAAAATTCTGAATGGAAAACTATGGAAAAGGACAGGAGATTTCTTGACACCCCGAGTCACAAGCATCACAGGAAAATCTTTGCCAGTAAGTGGAGGGGATTCAAACAGAAATACAGTCACATTGCTCCAGTCACATCTCCCTTGCAGAAGTGATTGCAGGACAGCAGGAACCTTGATTTGATTACATGATCAATCATCCCAGCATCCCATTTTATTTTCCCCGAGTGATTCTATGCCAATATACATACTACTACAGAGGCACAGCTTTTCCTGCCTGTTGCTGAAGGTTCACAGAATACATTCATAAAGTGCAGTCTTTTGGAAAAAAAGCATGTCCATACTGGATCATTGCAAAGGAAGTATGATGTACAAAACAGGCTTTCATTTTAAAAGGGGTAGATTCACACTTAAACAAACACCTCCAGTTTGTTCCATGTGAAGGGCCAGCATCCTGTTTTTGGCTAAATTCTCCATGGATAAGTCAACTTGGTCGAAGACCACAAGCTTAAGCCCTAGAAGACTGAAGCCCATGTCCCATTACACAACTTGCATCGAGGTGGCTCCGCCATATTTACTTATCCATGAGATTATCCAGTGTAGTGGAGTCTTCAACTGCCATAACTACTGCAAGCCCAGCACTGACCACACAAGTGAGTCCTGGGTTCATCTTCCCATGACTTGCCTATTCCCGGCACAGGCCTGCAGACAGCCAGGCAGCCCAATCACTCTGCAACGCCAGTGCAAAATTCAGCCAAAGGAACCTGTTCACCTCCCTCACACCAATAGGAAACACCTTAATGCAGCAAAAAATTTCAGGCTAAGATGATCTGTGGTTAAGAACACCAGCGGTATCCTTACATCTTCATGTCCTTCATCCATCCTGGACTACCAGCAACAAGGGTTTTGTGCATATGTCATGGGAAAGGCTGTGACCCCAAAGCTTCTCAGCTGAAGCTCAACATTTGGCAGTTCATATAAGACTTTTCCTGTAGCTCTCTATACAGGAAGATGAGTTCATATTACATTTTTCTATTCACATTACAATTAAAATTGAACTTCAAGCTGTTTAGGCAGCTGACTGTGCCTTGTGGAATCAAAATGCTGCAAATGCTCGAGTCCCATCTGCACTCCCCAAGCAGCTCTACATTTCCACTGTTCCCAGACCCCATCCACAAACAATGGAAGTTTCCATCTGTCAGTTACTAGGGAACTTTCCAGAAGTTTGAACTTTTCCCCCAACTCCAGTTTTAAAACCACACCTATGAGCCTGCCTTGGGAACAAGGCCCTCATTGATCAGCTGTCCTGCAGCAGCCCAAGGAAGGAGCACATTTCTTCGGAGCCTTCTGGGCACAACTCACCTAACCCTCACAGAGGAAGGACATTTATAGTCTGAGACTTTTTATTAATGGAGGAAAGGGGCACTTTTGAATATCTGTCAGTGTGGCTCACTTGTTAAGAAGAGATTCACATTCTCATCGAATCTAAGGTTTCACTGGTACCAGGTTTATCAGGCAATCTACTGAATTTCAAAAGCATCCTGTTGGGTTTTCTTAAAGCTTTGATATTCTATGAGTAGATCCAAATCTAGTCTCCCATTAGGTCTCTAATTTAATGCACTCTTTTTCTGTTCATTGCAATGGCTGTTCTGGTCTGTGCCAGGCCGGGCTACAGCAACCACCTCGATGTGTGTGCCTTGAACACAGACAGCAACGCTGGGCACGCTCAGCAGCACTCTCATGGACAACAGCTTCCAAGACCAGGACCAGAAAGGGCTCTTTTTATTCCAGAAGATCTCCTCATAGAAGAGAGGAGAAAACATACAGTTTTAGTCACTTCAGGGATTTATTTTAGAGTCCTTGCAGTCTCCTCTGATACACCCAAATTGTCTGTCCCAGGATTTGTTTAGGCCAGCCAGCAAAGTGCAGTTGTCACTGGCAGCCCATCAGAACCCTCATCTGCTGCAGCATTTCACTAGTTCATACTGCAGTGGTATTATGGTTTAGTAAGTCCAAAGTATAAAATGCATCTTTTTGTTTGCCTTTGGAGAAAAATGCCCATATTCAAATCCACTAAAATTTCTAGGGAGTTGGGGAGATGTGAGGGACTTTTTTTTTTAAGTCTGTTTTAGGAAATATTACTTCTTAGATAGCACTCTCTGACATAATGAAAAACAATATTGTGGTATCACTTGACCAGCCAAATTCTGTCTCAGGCAAAACACTTGGTTCTGCAGAGTTTTTAAGGAGATTTGCTGTGATGTCACAGTTCACATTTACCAGTTTAAAAGTGAATGCTAACTCAGCTTTGACTTCTCCAGCAACCATCTTCTATTTAGCCTGGGAAAGGGAAAGCTGCCTAAAATCTTGAACAGTTTGACTAATGCTTACAGAAATAATTAATTTATCTTCTGATAAACCATGCTTGTGTTTTCTTAAGGACCCAAGAGGAATTCCTGACAAATGGTCCCATGTCTTTAGTCTCAGATACCAACTTACTGGTATTTGCAAGTAGAAAACACTCAGATGCCACAGCATCAAATTCTAAACCATTCATTCCTATTTCTTTTTCCTAAATTGATACTAAAAGATTGCAACTGCACTTAATAGTTAACAAACATCTAGCTTAGAAAAAAGCAGAATAAATACAGAATGTATATTATATTTCAGACACATGCAAGATAAGAGGAAAAAGAGTTTAAAAAGCATCCCAAGTAGCTCCCCTGTTGTTTTTCTAATAAAAATGCACTAGCAGAAAAGTGAAAGGTAGAAGGTGTCTGCTAGTGGAGAATAAATGGTGAGATTAGAGCCCTCAGCATGAACACATTATTATTATTTATTATTTGTCAGCCCCCATACTGTGAAACGAACCTCAGATGACAGGTGCTTTTTCTCCACTGATTAATAAGGTGCAAACCATATGCTCTGCATTCAGATTCACTCTATGAAATCACCATATTCTGTCAAAGGAAGAGGGATTTTCTTTGCTAGCATAGGAGGCCTGGGCCAAGGGCAGTAATCCTCACTCAGGCATGGCTATCGGTGTTTCAGGCGGAGTTCTGCCAAAGCTGTGCTTAACCAGAGCAGGACTCAGCTCCATTTTTAAAGAGCATAGTGAGACAAATGATAACTGGACACCGGCAGGGGCATTACGGGAGGGAAACCACTCTAGAGGGATGATGTGGAACTTTCCTAAGAGATGGAGGGTACCCCTCCCATGCTCTGGGGGCACAGGTGACACAGGTCAGTCATGCAGGAGGAAAGAGGAGGTCAAGAGCCATCTTTTACATCTAGAGAGTTTGTCTAAAGGATGTGCTACTCTCACAAAGTCACAGCAATAAAAAAGGCAAGAATCTGGATGGAGACCTGGAGAAAACCTCACTGCCAGCAAACCCTCTGAGGGGGAGTTTTTGGAAATCATTATTGCTCCTTCCCTCAAGGGTGAGCCACAAAGCAAGCTGAAGGGAAGGGTCCAAAGACACATCTGAGAGGAGCCTGGTAGCATCTCCTGCTCATTCTTAAGAGGTTTCACAAAGCAGATGGCAACAGGGAATGACCAATTTCACCAGGCACCTTCATCAGGAAGTGAACACAGCCTGGGGAGCAGTGTTGGCAGCACTGCCTACGAGATTGCACTGAGCTGGTTTTATATTAGCACCTGGGCTTGACAACTATATGCAACTCTTCCACTAAAGTCTCCTGACAATGCCATCCAAACAGGAGCATCACACTTCCATTTCTTTTTGTGTGTGGTTTTAAATTTTTTTTTTAAGTTTTCATAAACTTCCCAGAAGTTATACTGGTAGAAAGGAACCACGTGATCTTTGACAGTACAGCCAGAGACAGATTTATTTCATGCTTCTGACAGCTCTACACAATTCAGGAACACAAAAATGAAGAGCAAGAAAAACAGCCGTGAATATTTTACTTTAAGGACATACCTTTCTAAATGGGCAGGGGCTACTCTCCAAGGCAGCCACTCTGAGCCAGTTTCTTTAATGAGAGGAGGTGCTTGAGAGACTAATCCTGGCTGGCACTCCCGCATGGCACTGGCAGTGTGGCTCTGTTGCCCACTTTGGGGGCTGAATCCGGAAGAGCCTGGTGCTATATGGGAGCACCCCAGCCATACATCATGCCTTCAGGTCTTGTGCTGTGCTAATGCTTTTGGAGAAGGGCTGGCTCACCAACAGAGAGCTAAGGAAACACACAGAGTGATCTTCTGCCTCTTGTACAGGGCTGTGTAGTCTCACCCTCAGTCAGCTCTTTCCTCCCACCATTCACCACCAGTAGTAGCCCAGAAACTCCCTGTGAGATTTTTCTCCTTTCCATGTAACTAGAAACAAAGCTGTTTGAGCATTGCTTCCTCCCAAAACATTGGAAATGGTTGCTGTCAAAAATAAAGTAATTTCCAACCGAGTATTGCATCTTTACAATCTGTGCTAGGAAATTTAATCCCATTTTCATTCCTTGTTTGGATCAAGGCAATTCGTTTGCTTAAGCTTTTGTCAGCTGTAACTAAGCAAACCATTTTCCTGCTTTATATGTAAGCAACAGATTCTGAGTTGAAATCACAAAAGTAATTTTTGGTCTTCACAGCCTGGGAATTTAGGGCCTGGTGGAAACATGTGAACAGTTCAAGACTTCAAACAGAGTACTTGTAGTGTGATTTAAGATACCAGCCTGGCATGTCAAGGCTACTGCCCTATTCATCACCTCTTTGCTTTGAAGAACGCTAGCATTTAGTAAACAGTTGTACAATTCAGGCTTGTGAAAACAGCACATACGTTCCCTGGATTTCACGTGGCCTTGTACATATAGCAGCTATGCAACACTGGAAAATAGTACTTGACAAGAGATGACAGAAGTCATGGATACATCACAAAATCATCTTTCAATCCTAACAGCTTCACAGTCAAAATTTATGTTCACGTGAAAAACAGATTGCTGATTGTAGCCTGTCCTGATTGGCCTGACTCATTTAGCACTTAATCGTTTGCATTTATAGGGAAGCTGGTTATCCAAATTAGGGTTTATTTTGATCTCATTTTTCTTTCCCAACAGCTGTCCATTTACTAATAACCTGATGATGTGTTCTTTGAGACTAAAAGCACATATGAAGTCTGACTAGTTACCTCTGGTGCATCTCCTTTCTGCACCGCTTCACAGGTTTCACAGACTGTGGTAAGTCTCCAAAGCAGACTATTTTGACAGCCATTTATTTGTGCATTTTATGGATTTCTTCTGCCAATCATTGCTTTTGGAATCTCCTCAAAGAGTGTGTTTGCATGCCCAAAGCCATGTTGCTATCAGCATCCCTGGCTCCTTTATACAAAGGATTAAATCCTTGTAGAAATATGGTCCACAGGGCTGCTCTGCTCACTGTCCTCTCTTCACAGATGTAATGGGATTGATTGCTGAAGACCCTACACCCCTTGACAGTGATGGCCACCTTCCAAAGGCTCTATCAAGGACAAAGACTATCAGATCCATCACTGTCCCACCCCTTCTAGTCAAATTTTCCATGGAAAACAAGAATACCTCAGGTATTATCTCAGTCCTGCCTCCATGACCTGAGCCATAACACTTCTGCTACAAAAGGAGACAGAGCCAGTAATGAAATTTGACTCCTCTGTGATTCTTAAGCAGTCAGGGGTGTCACTTCCTACTGCAATGGCAATACAAACCCCAAATCTGCCCCTTGCTCTGTGTGCAGCAGTACAACACCAGTACAACACCAGTTTCATCACAGGAGAGGCTGCATTTTCTCACTAGAAAGGGCTCCCTGGTCCCTCAAGACAGCATGGTCCTTCAGTGCATCTGGCCTAGAGAGCTGCTAGAGATGATTTTAAATACTGCAGAAGTCTTTAAAACACTGACAAAAACCTGTCAGGTCCAGCAGACACAGGAAGATGAATAAATGGATGACTTCTACATCAGCAAGAAATGCCATTTACTTGAAGCAGCAGTAGTAGTCACTTGTGACTTTCCTTCTCTTCCCCCAGGAGTGGATCAAGAGGGACAGGAGAGAAGCAGCTCTGCAGGCCATGGCTTTCCTCACCAGCAACACACAGAAACCTACTGGCATCCCTGAAACATCACTGTATTCTCAGCTAACCACAGCTAATATGACATTTCATACATAAATAATTTCTGTTAAAGCTAGGCTCTATCACAATGTTTGTTTTATGCAGAGTTTTTGATTTTTTAGACTGTTCTTAAGACTATCAGAATTCTACCTTTAGAGAACCTGCATACTGGGGTTTTATCATTTGGGCCTGTTGATTTGATCCTAGGGAATTAACCACATTTGAGCTCCCCTTGCCTAGGGCCAGATACGCTAATTCCACTTCCAAATGTACGTGTCTTGCTTGGCAGCTCAGCCTTGGCGCTAGATTATCTCTACCTACAATTTAATTAAAAAATAATCACCCTGCGCTTCCCTCACGCGGGGCTGGCGCTGTGAAACACACACGGGGCCGTGAGCCGCTACTTACGTGATACACTTTGCTGGACAGAATGAGCACGGAAAAGGCTCGGAGGAGTTTTCCTGCCCAGCCTTTTTAACAAATGGTCACGTTCGTTCACGCTAAGGGAGACAGAAAGAGAGAAAACACACCAGTGAGTAACCAGATAATTTTCAAGTAAAAGTCACCTGTGTTTAAAGTACTTGGCAGCTTTGACTTTGTCAGTACTAAAGGTGGTTATAGCATGAAGAAGAATTTTCTTTCTTTACACTGCACATTGAGAGAACTCCTGCACTCTAAGGACACTTTGTGTAAGTCTACTTTAGGTTAATTCATTCCTAATGTCACCATCATTGTGACTTCTGAATGCCTCATGCCTTTAAATTATTACAAACCATATCAGAAGTCTGACATGGGGTGATACGGAACATTAAGAAGATTTCTCTTTAAAATTATGCACATGAACCACAGCATCCACAAAGTGCCTTAGAGAGAAGGAGCAAAGCACTGTAGCTTAGCACAAGGTAGAAGGCATCTATCACACCTGCACAATGGCCTGAAGCAACCAAAGATTGGACCCATTGTTAATTCTGCCTTCCAAAGAACGCTCCCATTTTAACCTCCCATATGGAAAAAAACCTTTCTATCCAATTTCTTTTATTAGAAACCTCTTTGGTTTACACAGTTCTTGTCAGAGGCATGAAAAAATTCCTGTTGAATTTACAAAAAGCGAAAATACAAACTTAGGGTGAAAAACACAGTACGCTTACAACAGGTTTAATGTACCTACAATAATTATTAGAGCTGCTCTCCACTTCGATTTTTATAAAAAAAACCCAACACTCATTTCATCAAGAACTTTATGCCTGGAGTTAAAAAATTGTGACTGGCCTTTAAAAGCACTTAATTATGTATATGGGTCCCACTAAGTTCAATGGGGTTTTAAAATAACATAGGCCTTCAAATCTCATTGCACTGGAACTTCAAGTAACTTAAATATCAGATTATTTTCAGAAAGGTATTAGAGTCTACTTTAGTTCAAAATTCTCCACAACTGGCTGGTTTTTTCCATCTCACCCTTATTCCTAACACTGAGATAGAGCTAGTGCATAGAAGGGATCTGTTTGCTAGTACAGCTCCTTGCAGTGCCTTTATCCCACTTGCCCCACATTTACACTCTGTCTCCATTTTCACAGTCTGCTTTTTCTTTCACATCTTTATTCACAAGGAGCAATTCCACTGATTATGCTGCAAACATGGATACACACCTGAATGCCAGTGCTGGTATCTCTCTTGGGTTAGATTACAAATTCACATGCACTGGGTGTATGAAATGGAAATCCCAGCAAGCGCAGCTGCTGCTGTCGACATGCTAACAACAGTTTAAAACAAACAACTCCCTTTCACTAAAGCAGTTTGCTAGCTTCAATCAGGAAAGTAACTCAAGAATCTCTGAGATGCCTGTAATATGTAATCCAGCCATGCAGGCTTATATTCCACTTAATAGTCCATTAGGGTAACAGCCTGGCTCACAGTCCTCTGTTCAGTGCATAATGAGGTGTCCACAAAAGAAAGGGTGGAATCCTTCTCTTTTTCCTTGTGATCTCAAAGTTCACACATCTAAAGGAGAAGCTTGTAAAACCTACAGACTCCTCCTCAAAATCTTTACAAACTCTCAGCATTTTCAGACACTTGGTCTCTTTCCCCTCCTTCTCCTGGCACCACAGAATCATACCTGCAATGTGTATGGCAGCTTGGTTTCCCTGCCTGCAGTCAGTAGTATTCCCTCAACATAAAACAGAAGTGGATAATAAACTTTTGAAACAGAAGTATTGATTCCAACTGAGTTTGTCAAACTCTAACAACTCTTGGCTCATGAGACCTGCATGTGTTCAAAGAAGAAAGGATCACAGGTTTCCATTAAAACCAGGGTTACAGCATGAAAGCTTCTAAAAATCTTGGAGGACCCAACTTCTTAAAAAAACCAAGACCAGTTGCTGGCTGTAAGAAAATCAAGTAAATGCAGAAATAAGTTTCTACCTGCTCCAAGCAGGCAGCATGATGGAAAACATACTACAAAGAATCACTAGGTAAGGGTGATGCAACAGAAGGCAAAAAGCAAGACATGAGAGTTCTCTAACCTTTAATCTTCCTTGCTTAGGAAGTTGACAGCCTGCAGAACCAGCCACTACCAGCGCATGTGCAAACCAGTGATGCTGTACAACCTCCTGCTGACTGCAGAAGAGTGCTGGGTAACTTGTTTAGTGAAACACTGTCTAAACACACTGCTGTCCTGTGAATGACAGAAGTGCAATACTTATTCATGTTCTGCAGGTAACGCACATGTAGGAAGAGTCCTTCTTATCTCAGTAGGAGGGTGATTTAAAAAAAGGAATCTTAAACCAATCAAAAATACTTGTTGTAGGGGACAAATAAGCAATGTTTGCCACAAAATTCTTACACTGAGAATGGAATAAACCACAGCAGAAAAATGCACAGGGGAAATTTCTTCATCTGCTTGTCTACCATGCAGCAATAGAAGAAGTGCAGACCAATAATGCTTAGCTCCTCAGTCTTCTGCATTCAGTGTGTGGAGGAAAGAGTGCTGTCAAGGGACCTCTGAGCAGGAGTGACACACTGCAGCTCTATGAATGCCAAAGCTATGCTATCTTTAATATTGCTAACTATAATCAACAAGTTCAAAACTAAAGTCACATCTGATTTTCCCATTTGGGAAATTATACTGGATTGTATCTATGCAGAGAAAGAAAAACTCACAGTAGAATTAGAGCACTTGTAGTTTGAGCTATGACTAAATAGGCTGCAAGTCAAGATCAGTCAAGTACTATATAATAAACTTTTAATACACAGAAGGTAATGCAACACAGTTCTTCTGAATTGCACGAGTATTTGATTTACCAACAGATATTAGATCTCCCAGCACAAACCCGGAAAGGAAAGGAAAGTGAAGTGGCTTTCTTAACTATTACCTGTTTGCACTCATACCAAGTTCCTGCTTTCAGAAAAGGTTTCTGCCTGCTGCTAACAGGTAACAAAGTGAAGACTTCTCAGTCTGCCTCACACTTGGATGCAAAAGTAATGATAACTCTGGACTCACAGGCAACAGGTTAGGCCTTGCTTACAGAAATATCACTTGTAACTCAATCCCAAGCATTAGCCATGATTTTCAGATCTAATTCTGCTTTCCACTGACTCTGAACCAGGGCTAAACACTCCCATGGGGTCTAAGGATGGCATCTTCAGACTCACTGAGGCAAAAGGATTAGGGATCATGAAATCCCACTCTGAATACTGGACAGTTGTGTTCATATTCAGGAACTCAAAAATCTTGTCAGAATGGAAGAAATCACAAACCCAGACATTCTTATGGAAGTCAGTGACATGGAAAGGGAAAAGTGAAATATGCTTTAGCTGGTTAGTCAGTGACCTCTGAGGGGGTAAGGGAGAGGCACCATCTATCTGTAATGATACAAAGGACAAAGGACACAGACAAAATGCTTTGAACTAAAATACTTGACTAAAACAAGAACTATTAAAAGGTCCCGATTTCGAGGGTTCTATGAAAAGAAAAAAAAGGGATTTAAAAAATCATTAGTCAAGTTAGCTAAAATCAGATTTAGTTGCTATCAATAATGCAGAATACCTCAGGCCAGGAATACCTTTGTGATGACTTCATAAGAGGGTCAAGGTGACTTCTGCCTGCCTGGAAATCTGTGCTAGCAACATCACACAAATTCATTAAGTGAATGACAAATCAAAAGGTAAACTAAAGGCAACATGTTATTTCATAACAATGCGCTCAATTCCATGAATACAATAACTCTTCCATCTTCCTATCTGAATTGCTCTAAGGTGTCAATGGAGACCTTCATTTTATTTTTGTATTCTCTTCTTCTCATCCCTCACAAAAGCAAACAGCCCTTAAATCTAGGCAACAAACATCTGGCTTTACACATTCAAATGAGGTGCATCAAAACAAACAGAATAATTCAAAGCTGACCACAAGGTCCTGCTGTCTCATTTGCTCAAGTAATTAAAAAAAGATGAGCTTCACCACCAATTAATCTACTAAGCACTAATTAGCGTTAATGAGGATTTGTGGTATTTGGTATAGCTTGACCCAGAATGTTCTCCTGAGTCCACTAATTGACTGGTGGCAAAAGCAGGGATCACAAAGACCGGAAGGTTAAAGTGGATGCAGGTGTTTCTTACAATTGGATCTTCCCTGAGAAAACACACACGTATCCCAGCTTAAAAAAAAAGGAAAATAAAAATTCAGAGCCCTCTTTCTCTTACAAAAGCTGAATTCTTGTTTGTGTTTTGTTAACGATTTGCTAGAGGAGATACACAGCTGAAGCATGCCAAATAGGCAAATACACTAAGTTGCCACTGGTTTTAACTCACTACCCTTCTAGATTATGAAGAATTCAGTCAGATACAGATATTTGAAAATGTTTGGTTTGTTTCTGTATTCCCCTTTCCAGAAGGAAGAACTGAGGTGCCTAGTGAAGCCTCACCAGGAGTGCTAGAGATGACACAACTAAAGCACACAAGCACACTTCCCAGTCAAAAACATGCTAGGAGCTCATGGCAGAAGCTTGTCTCTCCAGTGCAAGGTACTCAGTGTCCATGGGTAAGCCCAGAGGACAAGAAAGCTGCAGCTTTCGTATGAACACCTACAAAGCCCTCACTACACTGCCTGCAGGTGTAGCACCACTGGTTCTTCTATCCTACAGTGGTGTTGCAGCAGACAGCCACAGGTAAACCATTTTACAGCTTGGTTTAAACCAGAAAATCCACCAAGGCTTAGGCTGAAGTTCTGTCCTCAACTCCACAGCCTCCCTCCTACCCATACGTCTTTTCAAAAGAACCAGAAGGTAAATCCTTGTTCAGTCTCTGCTTCCACTGCCACATCCTCTGCTAAAGACAGCCTGAGGAACTCTGGCTGGCCTGCATTATTCTCCTGTTGGAGGAAACATCTTGCAATGTGTTACCCTCGCACTGCAACAGCAGGGACAGGAAAGAGCGAGGGAGGGGAGGAGAAGTTTTTGCAAAATATCCCATGTGGCTAAACACAAGGTAAAAGACCAGGAATTTTCTG